TTGTAAAGTAGCCAATAACTAATGGGTTTTATAGTAAAGTGGCCAATAACTAATAACATGTCAACACAAAAAAATGTTAAAGAAACACCAAAACACTTGTGGAAGATTTAGAATAAAACGTGGTTTCTCTGTTTAGTGCCCCTCCCAGTGGCACAGCGGTATGTCTGCGGACTTACAATGCTAGAAACCGGTTTTCGATATCCGTGGTGGGCAGAGCACAGATAGCCCATTGTGTAGCTTTGTGCTTAATTTTAAACAAATAAACAAACAAACTGTTCAGTGGACACCAGTGGCTCAGCGGTAAGTCTAACTTATAACGCTTAATTTCGGAGTTCGATACTCACGATGGGTAGAGCACAGATAGTACACTGTGTAGCTTTTTGCTAACAACAAAAAGCATCTTAGTTCAACGGTCATCCAATAGAATTAGATGCAAATTCCCTCTCACTTGAAATTTATGATGTTAAAATGTAGGGTTTCGATACCGCGGCTGGAACTGCACATTGTGTAGCTTTGTGCTTATGAACAAACCAACAAATAAAAAGTGAAATAGACAACATAAACACTATTATTAATTCAAACGTCTTGTACCTGATTTCATGGCAGAAAATAAAAGAAAACCACAAGATATTCCACATCTCGCATTATATCCTTTGGATATTATTATTATTATGTTTGTAAAATATGGAGACAGTCTATAGTTAGTGCTTCAAACACCCATATATATAAACAGTTATCAACCAGTAACTTCATATTAGAAATGCATAATGCAATTAAGGACGTTGAATGCCTCTCTCTCTCTCTGTAAGACTTGCTAATGGCTTTTAATAAAATGGCATATCTCTTTAATTTATGATGAACTGACATGCGGGACACGGGATCGAAGCACGTCGCCAAACATACTCGCTCTTTCAACTGTTCTTTGTTAAAGAATAGCCCAAGTATTGGCGTTTGGTTCTACCGCCCCGGTTACTTCCCCAGCGATCGGCAGTTCCTAACTTAGGGACGCCAGCAGATATCCTTAAAAACAATTGCCAAATAATTTATTGGTGGCATCTTGTTTCTTTTCCAATCTTAATTGTTAGTCAAATTATAAAAAATAAGTTATCTTGTTTAAATTATATTTTGTTGTTGTTGTACTCGTTCGAATTGTCTTCTCTAGAACAGTGTTTAATAAACAAACGTTGACTATTTTAATCAGGTGATGTATAAAACCAATAATCCCGGAATAAGGTACGAGTATATGTTACCGTTGAAAGAGAGGTCAACGTTATCACCTCCTAACTTCAGGCCGATTTCTTCAGCTTCCTCTAGTCTTCCAACGTCATTCCCATCGTGGCGTACACCAGGCTCCTTTTCTATGCGTGGAGCTCATCAGGGAAGGGACCAATCTATTATGGCCCTCGAGCCTGGTACCTATAATAAAAACAGAAGACCAAGGACAAGAAACCGACAAGCAAACAGAGAAGATTCTATGACACATCCTTACCTGTATCAGCGTACTTCCACAGGCTTAGAAACTCCATTTGGAAATACTAACAGTCTGAATGTTCGTTATGATATTGGAAAGAAAAATGCCGACGTTTTCGAATGGAAAGTGTCAGGTCTTACAGAATGTTCTGAGTCATGCGGCGGGGGTAAGTTGCTTAGAACCATTAGTTTCTAGGATTCTCAGATAATAGAAAAGAGACATTAAAACAGTAAAAAAAAGATAAACTCATTAATGTTTATACATTATTATGTTTATTATGGCCAGAAAAACACAGGGTTGAGCTAAAACAATGTGAAAAAGATGCTTAGAACAAGGAGTAATTGAGGACAGTAGTAGTCCGTATGCATCTCCGGTTGTATTAGTTCCTAAAAGGACGGAAATTAAGGTTCTGTGTGGATTTTCAGAGAGAGAGAATGTAGTAATTGTCAAAGACATTACCCATTACCTAATATACCAAGTAACC